TAGAAAGTACTTTTTGTTTTGGCTTTATATCCTTGAGAAAAAAAAGTGAGAGGCCCGTAAAATCCTGGTTGATTTTTTGAATTTTGTGGGAAAAGATAATTAGGGTTTAAATCCTACATCGTCATCAAAGGCGGGGAAATCTCTGTATGGGATTCTTTTTTTTATGATGGATGATATCTTAAGTGCAAAACATGTAGAAACCTACTTTTTCGAGAGTTTCTCAGGAATGGCTTGTCCTTTTAAAGCAAGGCGTTCATCTTCCGTAATTAGGTTTTAAAAAATCGTAGTCTATCACAACGGTGGAGGGAAACTGAATCTGGTCGGCGCATCAAAACATCACCACAACTTTGTTCTCGACGAATTTGACTAAATTCGTTCTACCGTAATTTTTTTTGTTACTAGGTTCCACCGCTCAGCCGGTAACGACGAAAATGTTGTTAAACGGCTAATTATTTGCAAAATAAATTAAAGCTGTGTTTTAGCTTAACTAAGACACTTAGACACTTAGCACAATGTGGGTTCTATAAGATTACTATAAAGCTTGTTGATATTGAGGAAGGGACTGACGGTGTGGGTGAGTATTGTTCAATAATAAAGGAAGACGTGAAATACCTAGGCAAAAATAAGATTATAAACTGGTAGAAAATAGCATCTGCTCACGGTATTCTTAATACCGAAAGGATAAAGGATAAAGCTCTCTGCGTTGATCAATCCCTTAGGAAGGCACCATGCATTGAACTTCACTAAGCATCGTTTGGAGGTGAATGAATGCATATATGGCCTTTTCAATGACTCGTAGTGGCCCATCGATGTATCGAGCCAGTGCTGCTATCCTTCCAGACAGGTCTGGCAACAATTTGCTGACCCTCGAGAGATGGAAGGCTTGGTGAGCCTGGAGCTCGGAAATCGATCCCACAGAGCGCCTCTCTCCTGTGACCTATATAAATTGGTTTTCCTAACTTTAAAAACTGTTTTATCTATAACAACGCGTCAAAACTAACATTGTTTTACGCCAACGGTTCGAATCTACCAGTCCACTTAGCAGTATTATAAAAAATATTTTGGGCTAATACCTTCTTTTCAGGACCATTTTTATCTATCACAATTGGTTATTATGTTAAGTTTTAGGCCTACTTTCCCATTCCAACGCTCCACAAATTGCGGTTAACACTGGTCTTTTATGGCGTATTCCAGTTGTTTTCTTCGATTCTGATCTTCTTAATCGTGTCGCTGTTCTTCGCATTTATGGATAAACGCTGCTCGATTATGCCTTACTCGTATCAGTCGTTTTTCCGATTTACTAGTGTAAGATGGGAAATCCTATATGCTTTTAAAAACCTGTTATTTTCTGACGAGAATAGGAAACTGGCTGAAAAATGGATCTGTAAAAGTACAAAAATAAATAATACAGTGAATTGAATCAATAATAATACGTTAAACAGGATAAGTGAATAAAAATACAGATAAAATGAGTGCAATCGCTATGAGGCTAAGGTATTTGCAAGATTTTTTCAATAGAGGCAGAATTTGTCGCCATATTGAGCAATGAGGATGGGTGTGGTTTTTCATCGGATCTGATAGAGATCGATGAAATATTAATTTTTTTGTTTTGGTTTTGCTTTGTACCCAGTTTAAATTTACGAGATATGAGATTGCAGGGTTACCATTTACAAAAGATATGAACTCGATGACGTCACAACATTTTATTTTAGCATACAGTACCGCATCCAATCTTAACGTATGCGGTTATGGTCTCAATTCTTTCTACCTTTGCATTTTCTATTCAGTGGTTATATATGTCTATTACATCACACATTTGGGAAGAATTTATAAAGGTGCGCTAATTCCTAATCTAAAAGAACTTATAGTCACTGTGGTATTTTTCATGGACTTCCATTTGTTGCTTACCGACGGATATTGATTTATTGATTGCAGGTTATTAGTTGTTAGTCTGAGAAATTATTGACTTAATGCTTATGAAGTAACGGAAGCAAAAAGTGAATGTTAAGGAAAAATTTCTTTTTTAATCCATTTTCTAGCAAATATGGGGTTATTTTCAAGAAGTTAAAAAATCGTTTTTCAGACTCATCTCAGAGAAATCGGATCCATGAGACAGCTTTGCTGGTTGCAGGTATTTTTCCGTTTAAGAAATATGAATAAAAAATAAAAAAAACTTATAAATAGAAATTGGAAGAACGAAATAGATGGTTTTCTCTCCAACTTTTTAACTATCATTATTATACCATTTTATTTCATCCCATCATAAGATTTTGGGACATTATATTAGGCTAAACCGAAAAGTATACGAAAAAATGATCACGGTCGAACCACGATTATCCTTTCCGAGGGCTCGCGTGTTACACACCGCACCAATGAGGCCCTTGCTTTACCTTTCTCTCAGCTAGTTTCTTAGATTATTATCAATCTAGGTTATTAGTATTGTTGCCATTATTATAGTTATTATTATATTATTCTTTCAGTCCGTTTTGATGGTTATCTGTGCGATTTTTGTGACCTCAGTGTCACTTATTCGTCTTCTACGTCTACCGTATGATACGTTCACGCCCATCGTCATTTTCTTCACTTTGTCAGTACTATAAATAGTTACTTTTCTTTTTGAAGTGTTACAAAAACCTTGTTAATTCGAACATGTTGCGATGAGATTTTGAAATATTTCCAATCCTCCTTTAAAATTTAAACTAAATGAAAAAGAGAAATAGAGTTTATGGGTAGGTGCTCATGTACATAGGATCAACTTATGATTATTAGGTTTATGGGAAAATATCTGTGGATCCAAATCTACAACGAATTTATCGACTGCGATAAGATGTTGGTTGGGTGAAGTTACTCTGCTGAGAAAATTGGACCAACAACTATCATGCATACTAATAGGGCTCTTCCACACTGTACTACAAGATTTTCCACAGATAACGCAGAGAAAAATGATTTGTGTCTTAAACAGGAACCTCATTTTGCAGGACGTTGGGTTCAATCATATGTGGAGTTTTTGTTTGCGGCTACTTCTTGCCGTTTTGCAATTCAAAAGGTTTGTGTTTTCCCATCAAGCTTATTGTTTCATAGTAAAACCTAATCATACGACTCACATTTTTAGTTCCTGAATAATTGTTTTTGAACATAAATGTTCTGTGGGCTACTTATCTAGTTTTATAGTCCGTTCTCAAAAGTTGTGCTGCTCCCAGCAAGAATCTATTCAGGAGGTGCATGGTTTTATGAATCCATTTTTAAGTAATCTGCAGTTAGTTGAACCATGGTTTTGTTACGTTACCAAAGCAGTTATCGATCTTTGTGGACCGAAATCTTTTAGGCCTCCTCGATGCTGAGTTTCTTCCAAGAAGGCGCTAATTTCTCAGTTTCACGTAGTCTTAGTTAGCCCTATCCGTACTATGTAACAGTTGCATTAACAAAAGCAGTCCATTGATGACCATTGAATGACCATTGTAAACCCTTGTGAGGTTAGATACCTTGTTACTGGCCATTTTCGAAGGCGGTGCTAACTTTTGACATAAATTTGCTTCTAGTTGGGCTTCCGGATGGGAAAGTAAGAACCCTTTCCTGTCTGATGTTTTAAACACTTAATGTATGAAATGTGTGGTGCAGTGGTTGGAGGCGCCACTGCGGCACATGTGGAATCGATCTCCGCGCCCATGGCCCATCAAGCTTTCCATCCCTCCGGGGTCGGCAGATTGGTACCAGACTTGTCTAGGAGGATAGCAGCACTGGCTCGATACATCGGTGGGCCACCGCGAGTCATTGTAAAGGCCAGATATGCATTCGATCACCTCCAACGATGCTTAATGAAGTCGAATGCATGGCGCATCCCTCAAGGATTGATCAACGCCGAGAACTTCATCCTTTATCCTTTATACTATATAAAATGTTATGTGAAATAGAGAAGAAGTCTATGAAAATAGGAAAAAAAACTAAGGAAAAAATTAAGAGTGAACATATCTTAAGTTGAAGCACTGTTTGTAATTACGTTGACTCCCACATTTGGCACAGCTTTAGAATGAAGATGAAGGAGATGCTGTAAATGAAGAAGCAGAAGTAGCATATTAGTGCTATTTCTTCTTATATTATCGTCACTATTTTCTTTCAAAACTCCACGAAACTCTGTTTAGGAGCGCTAACTTCGCTATTCGTATCTATGATTTCATCGATTTGTATGCTATACCTTTTCACTTCACGTAATCACTTATCGGAACTCCGTAACGATTGTATTGCAGAGATGGGTAGGAACGTCACAGTACAACTCAGGTTTGCAACGTTTTCTCAAAACTGGTTCTCATTGACATTTACTCTTCTACTTGAAAATATAAAATGACATTGTTAAAAACCTCTGTTCAATTAAGGCTTCATGCTTTCACAACCTCTTCTCTCATGAAATCGAAAAATCATTTCATAATGCTATGATGTTACCCTAAGGAAGATTTTATAGGACTAATTGTCGGCGGCATTAAATCAACAAGTTAAGAACATAAGTTAGAAAAAGTTAGTTACAAACTTGAATGACCGGTGTTGCGATTCTCAAAAGGTTGGTTGTGATTGTTGCACACAGACAACTTCCATTTAAGTGGTAGTCTGCTGACTGGGGTGTATTTTCTTTCGCTGCAGTCTCTAAAGTAGTGCTAGGAGTTTACAAGGTCCTCCACCCATAACATTTTGGAAAATCTAGTTTGTTGAGTACGACACGATAAGAAATCTTCTAAAAATTCTAGAGTTTGAAAATAAATGTCGCTCAATTCGTGTTGAATTCTGACCAGAACTTGAAATTGGTTGTTTATTTGGTATCATACGTTGTTTCGTCTCTTAAATATTATCATTTAAGTGGTCATTATTTTAGTGTTTGGATAGATGTTTGGATGGATGGCTTCCATCAATGTGCTCTATTTTTCTAACATCTTTCAATGCTGGCTACAAATAAGCAGTATAGGGAGGGCTAGCGAAGTGGTTAGCAATGCCGTCCATCAGGAAGCAACGTGCCCTGATTCCACTCTCTCCCCAACGCTTTCGTTCAACCCACGTGGGAACGTGTTAGGTCGGCTATCTCCGACATTGACAAGACCAACATTGTGCAAAGTTCATAAAGCAGATGCAAAAATTTTTGAAATCCTTTGTGGGCGATTAATGCGAGGTAAATGAATCGAATGCAAGAAGTGCTATAATCCACACAGCAGAAGTGATGAAGGCTCGTGTAATATAATGTAATGTAATGAGCAACACAAGGGAAATTTCTCCGTAAACCAATAAAATGGGGGTCATATATCGTAATACATTTTATTTTAAACAATGGCTTATAGGTTTATTTGGGTAAAACGAAATAAAGATGTTCAAATTAATTGAAACCAATCAAACAATGATTGGCCATTCTTTCAGGTCGTTCAATATGGAGAAGGTGGTGCTTATGGCATCCTACACGCCAGTTCAGTCGCATCCAATTGTTGCTTTTGTGGTATGTGATGACATGAGGGTAAATAATCTTGCAGATACATCCAAAATGATGCTAAAATATTTGCAAAATTCCGAACCACGGTTGTCTGCGGTGGGGATCCAACACGGTATTACCTTTTCCATCGCAAACGCGTTCACCACTACACCATGCGTGTCCTCCGTTTTGTCTTTTTTTCAGCTAGTTCTATAGATCAGTGCCATCAACAATCATCCGTCAACGGGATTGATCTGAGGAGCCCAAATCGGCATTGAGCCCAGTTAAACTGGGGCTGAGCTTGTGCTGCTGGCATTGGTAGATAGGAAACTAGCTGAGAGAAAGAAGAAACAACCGACCCCGTAGTGTGGTAACGAATGCGTTAGCCCCTAGAAAGAGTATTAGCGTGTTCGATCCCTCACCGCAGACGCTTGCTGTCCGGTGTTTTTTCAGCATCCTTGTTGTTGTATTTCACACAATATCCTGCGCTGAAAAATTTTGGTAGACTGTAAATTAGGAGTTAACATTGTGAGTCCCACAAATGCCATTTAAACTTTATCGAATCAATGATTTCCTTTCTCATCCTGGCTGTATGTGCAGCTGGGCGAAGGGTTTGGATCTACAGTGGGAGTTCATCATCTTGTTAGAGTTTTCGAGGCTGCGAAGGTGTCCGAAATTATAGTTTGGAATCACAGTTGCTATTGCAATAACATAGCTAGTTGAACTGCAGTTGGTCGAGCTGCGTTCCCACTAGGAATTAGAAACATATTACACCAAAAGTGTGGGTCTCTTCATGTCTTTCTAGATGACCGATTCTGCCTTGATGTGAACTAGAGAAGGGCGGTAATGGTGCTTGCCTGAGTCGCGTGATGAATAGTAGAATTGTAGATGATAAAGTATGCTCCCCGTAGTCCTGTCAGTTCTCGGGTAGTTCGCGCCTATACCTTTGAATTATCTATTCCTTGTGTTGAATACAACACTTTCTTTTTCAAGCCGTTAATTCTCCTTTTTTTCTCCTCCTTTTCTGTGGGTACAAGCCCACGGATTCGATAGGTATTATATGTTCGCGCAACTTTACGAGCTGTCCTGGAGAAAATGTTGGGGGAACCCGATCCTCTACCACTCGCTACCAGTTATATGGGTGCAAGCTTTTGTGGATTTAACATGCAAACGCATAATCAACGTCTCCATTCATGTATGTGGATGTGTATAGAAAGTACAAGTAAATTCAGTCAGCACAGAGACAGTGCCCTTTCCGAATCCACCTTCATTGCAAAGCAAGTACACGATCTCTTTAGACCAGCACATGTGGATCGTTCACACTGGAATCATCCTAGATAAATACTTATTGTCTTTGAAAAACTGGTTGTTTTTCGATAACAAGCTTTTTATGAGGAAAAGAAGTATCCGATCATTTAGAGTGTGGAATCGAAGTAGTTGGTCTGTTGTGATGACTAATCAAAGAGCAATTCAGGTAGTCTGAACCTCTTTGGTACTTAATTGAAGCGTTCGTGTTCTAACAACCACCTCCGAGCATTCCTATGCTTTTTTATTTGCAGTTGTATGGAAAAACAGCCTAGATGGAGGAAATGTCCACCACACTTATGCTGTTTCTATTTGCTTTAAGCACTTTATAGTCCCCTTTTTCAGATAACAGTACTGATTTGTCCTATCGTGTCCTTCTTCACTGGTGGGCAAGATCAAATGTGTCTCGACTGGAATCTTGTTGTCATACCGTGTTCTGCATCGCTAACTTCACGATCCACTTACGGCAAAAGACCTTTTGTTGAGAGTGAATCATTCCGTTATGCACAACATACAGCAGGACCGGGTTTACTTAAGTACCAGCGATAGTTTGTTGCACTTCAAACTAAACGGAAAGCTTTCCCGGGAAGAACGATTTCAAACGTATTGGTTTTTGTGTGACTGAAAGCATAGATGTTTTAAATAGTGGCAGATAAGTTCGTGATTATATAGACTTTTTTCTTTTGTTCAGAAATTTCGTTATTTTTTAGGAATCCTTACATTTTTCTACTTCTTATTCCTATAGTTTGGTCATGTTTGTCTTTGTTCTTCTAACTTCCTCATCTAGTTCAAGTTAGATTGTTCGGATAGGCTTTCGCATTCGTATCACTTTTCCTTTAGAAGGGAATGCCACGTTGTTTTTCCTTCTGAGTTCCGTCATATCACATATATGATACGGGTTCTTCCTATAGATTAGAATACAAAAAAAGCGAATAGTTCTAAATATGGCCTATATTTGTTAGAAGACTAACCAATAAAGATAATCTTTAGAGGTCGTGAAAAATTGACAAGGCTTTCAATCAAAATGGTTTTTTTTCTGACAAGTGGAATTCTACAGTACTATGAATAAGGGATAAAAGGGTAAAGCTTTCGACGTTGATCAATCCCTCAGGATGCATACCTCGTCTATAACGCAGCTACCCTAGTGATGAACCAATCCAATGCTGGTATCTTCGTAAACAAGTCTATTACCAATTTTCTGGTGCTCTATGATCTATTACTATGGTCCTGTTTATGGTACAATTCTATGATCTATGGTCTACTGATGCTTGAAGGTTGAAACGTTTAGTGAACCGTGGATAGGCTGACGAACACGTGCGTATTTTAGGACATCTCTAACCACTACGCTAGGCGCTCCACTGACGTTATGAATAGCGTTTCGTAAAAAAAAAATCCATCTATGCAACGGCAGTTATTCTGTGCGCAAATTCGACTACGAAAGCAGCCTTCGGTTGAACAGCAAAATGTCACTTTTATTAAAGTTCTCTTTATTTGTGCACTGTGCACTGATACCTTGTGGAAATCTATAATCTTGAGTTTTTGACAAGGAATGGTGCTTAAAGTGGTTTTGGAAGTCCACATAATCTTCACGAACTTCCGTCAAACTAATCTGAATATCAAGAAGAGCATTTCAAAAATTCTCGTCTGCCAGCTAAATACCTATTGTACTATATTCATTAGTTAAGCAGTCATTGTTTAATTAGGCACTCATTTGACTCTCTTCAAAAAGACCTTAATGAAGTCAAAAAAGCTCGGTTCACAGAAAATGTGTTTTACCGATATTCTATAGTGGCATAAGTGAATCGTTGATTTAGCATTTATTTAGGGTTTGCTTCAAAAAAGTCACCATGAACAATTAATCGACGATCTCTTCGATTTTAAGGAATCTTGGCTCCTCTTTGTAATGAGGAGGAGCAAACATCGGCAGCATACTGTATGCGGCTGTGAAGGGACGATGTGGCGTTTTTAACAAATGAATCGGTATACACATTGGTCGGTCCTGAAACGGAAAATGTTGTAAGCTTCAGTAAACACGGTAAAAATACAAATTTGTTGTAAATGAATAGCAGATAAACCTAAGCAACACTGATATTTCGTAAACATCTGAACGAAAACATGCTGCCTGATTTCTGTCGTCATATTCTTACAGTTTTTGCTGATTTTAATTCGATAAAGGACAATGCATAAAGATTATAGCGCAGATCTAAGAAGCTGAGGGATACGCCATGCATTCGACTCCATTGATCATTATTAGAGATGGTGAAATGAGTCTTTGGCGTATACAGTGACTTATGGTGGCCTATCGATATATCTATCAATAAGTGTTTCTTATACCTTTGAGAAATCTGGCTAATTTGGAAACTTCACGAGGATAGAAGGTCTGTTGAAAAGGAACATAGGGTCGTAGCAATGACAACGGCTGTATTCCAGTGCACCTCTAACTACTTCGTCACATGGACCAACACTATTAGATAGCATCTGTACTTATGGAGAAAAGGTTTTATTCGCGCTTCACATTACACGTGTTGTCCGTCATAATCGAATTGACTCATAACATCGTTCTCGAACTGCAGTGATTACTAGTAGTATAAAGCAATTCTTTACTGGAGGAATTGTAGTCGTGAGGCAGCAAACCTTCCCCAAACAGTGGCTGATTGCTTGTAGCGGACAGCTATGAGCAACCTAGGATGGCCTTCTTGAAACACGTTCTTTGAGTAATTTCAGTGAAAGGAGAATGCAATAGATATTCGAGCCACATCCGAACCGACACGCAATCCCCACCATGGATGACGGTTCTATTCTAAGAAGACGAAACCATTAGATCAAGTTCAGGATCGACGCCGGATTTGACGATACCCTATCTACGTACGCTTGTCTAGTTGTGACTCTACTCCTCTATGATTTCATGCAATCTTCACATAAAAAATTTGTTGACAAAAAATTGAGAAAGGTGCAAAAAAAATATAAGAGTGTGACATTTGGCCCGACTCAGCAAGTTTCAGCAAACTTACAAATTGGGTCGATAGTTTACGGTCAAGTGATTTCTACATGAAAACCGTCCAAAATCTAGAAATGCCGAAGAGTGCAACAATGGCATCCAGAGATGTCAACAAACATGGATCATGGATAAATCTCTTAAGAGCTCATTATTGTTTTCAGTACTATGATACCTCTATCACAATTTTGTATCACCTTGATAAAGTCGTTGATGCACTTGTTTACTGGTCAATTGACAAGCTCTATAATTCCCACGCTCAAAGTAGTGGGATAAAAATTGTGCTAACTTGAAGTGTACAACCAGCCTCCTTTATAGAACTGAATTTTTATGCGTAATTTTTACTACAATATTAAACTACTTCCCTAAAGCTGGATAATCAGAATAATAGTTAATTGACTTAATAATAGTAACTAGAAAAATAGAATACTTCAGCCGAACAAAACCTGTTATATCCTGTCGAAGTGAGCTAATCTTATAAGACCGCCATCGATGACTACACTTCCAAGATGGTTTGTACGACATGTCCTCATGTTAATCATCAAGCAACTCGAGCAAGCTTCAGTAAACCTCGTTCATGCAGACCGTGCAACAGAGTTGATCAGTAAATTCTCCCATTCTCCAAAGAGATATGAGGATATACAATGAGCAGGACATTTCGTTTATGGGACTGTATATCACGGTTTCTAGCAAAAAAAATAGCCATGTTCTCCTGGCTCCACATGACTAAACCCAAGCTTATGAATAAAAATGTCGATTACTTTTTCAGCGTAATTGGTAGAGCCCGTTTAGGATGACCCATCGTAGTTAGGGACCCTGGAATACCCTCTACTACATTAAGGTAAAAACCGCTGCTGAGACTCGAATATGCGTTGACCAAAGGTTCCATAGGATGATTACAAAGTTCCTACTAAAAATGACGGAAACAAAGTGAAAGTTGGGAACATCTGCTGCTCCATGACAGCTGCACCACTTCAACCTCTCTTAGCAGGTTGCATGGTCGAGCTGCTTATAATAGTAAAGCTCATAAGGTAGAAATTAGATCTCAAGCAAGTGAGTAGAGAGTGAAGCTATCATGTCTATTCTAATTAGTTTTTACACATATAGTTTTTCAGACTTGCAACTGTCACACAAAGCTTTTAATATTCTTTATACACAATTTCACCTGTGGCTGAGTGCTGTATGGCGGAGGCCCATCGTTGCTCTTTCCGCGCTCAGAAGATGAAGCACAGTAATAGCTGCCATCCTTATCGGACGATGTGATACTTATCGGTGACGACAATCCAGTACGAGTTCCAATTACAATCGGTGTTTCAACAACGAAATTTCCTACTGACGTTAGCAGTAGTTCATAAAAGACCTGAAGCGAAGAAATAATGATATTGGAGGGCACAGAGATATTAAATAATTGTGGGTGTGATATCGTTGGGTGAGTGCAAAAGTAATATTCCTACTATAAAATCGATCTGAACAATATTGTAATTTTCGGTTATTAAGAAATCACTATGATTTGCGTGAGTTCTAAGAATCCTAAAAATGAGCTAAACTCCGGATTTTTCTTAGCTATTATTGATCGGTGATAGATTCCGAATTCACCACACCTTTATATTTATTGCATGTCTCTCCAAAGAAGGATAACAGTCGTGGGGAACTTGAACAGAATGATGAAGAGCAAGAGTATTTCCTGGAGCCACTGATCCACATATAAGACGTGTAATGAGCCGTGAACTGGAAATACTTATATGAGCAGAAACTAATGAAGGAAAAAACTTTGTTCTAAAGCTGTGCTTTTGAAGAAATCTAGATTGTAGACACGAAAGACTATGTGAAAACTGTTCTAGATCATCATTAATAAATCAATATCTCATAGGTCTCGTCATCTAACAATTTCAATTTATTTATTAACCATGGTGGATATTAGGGTTTCCGCCATTGGTGAGTTTCACCAAAATTATCAAGCTATGAAATCCGTTTTTGTTTTGTAAAAGGGAATGACAGCAAAAGTTTAAAACTTTTGAACTGCTTCTACGATCCCAGAACGTAAAACAACTTCTATGGACTAGGTGGTGCATGGTAAAAGTGCACGGGTTGAAAGAGCACGGTAAAAGTGAAAAACATAGTAGTACAACATGTTGCTCAACTACCCTACCAAAGAATCTATACCAATGCGGAATCACTGACGGTTAAACGGAGACGCTCGTGACGACTAAATTGGGAACAGCTTGTGCGGTACCCATCGTGACCCACTATTATCGGATATAAAGTTGTTGCCTTACATATAATTATCCCTTTATGAAAAAAGTGATCACTGTGTGAGGATACGTGTTGCGGCACGTCTTGAAAATCTGATATATAACCCTGGTATTATTATTTTGGAAGCGTGTTTCAATATTCTTGAATTATCTATCATTCTGTCTAAATAACGTTCAGCTTTGCAAACGATACACCAGAATGGGAAGAATGATAAACTGGTGAACATAAATTAGCTGTTCTTCGTCCCTTCACTAAGTCCTTGACGTTCTTACAAGTTGGCTAAGCCGCTGTGTTTCCTCTTCTCGGATACAGAACTGGTCCAATCATCGTGTCAATTTCTCGATCAAAAGAACATAGCTAGAGCATTACCATATATTCATTCTAGACAGTGTTTAAAAAAAGGTGGGGTGGAAGGCCACGGTAAAGGAAACCGTTGATCACGAACGCCGTTGTTTTAACTTACAGCTTTTGTTTCGCAACAAAAAACATTGTAACCCGCCATAATTTGACTGGCATGGCTATTATTTAATATTGTAAGAACGATCTGAGGAAAGCTAAAGCTGGCGTAGATGTCGGCCACCAGATCTCACTCCAATGGTACTTCTGTCCGATTTCGTTAGCACTTTTCTATAGTGATCTTCAATGATTTTGCTTAAATGGAATCGCTTTCAAGAACCTCACCCCTTATATTCGTGAGAATGTTATTGTAGAATGGTAAACTTCTAGTTGTGAAGTTGCTAAAGGACCCATCGAGGACCTACTTTGGGTATGGAAGTCTTGTTTGCCTTGGTCTCATATGCCCACTTCTGTCTCAACAAATACGAAAGTCTTTTGCTAAGTCAAGCTGATATCGTGATATTAAATATTCATAGAGTTTATCCAATCAGCAACACTATTCTAGCCATCACTTCTTTTTCTTTCGTTTCTACTTATAATTTTACAAGTGAATAAAAACGGCAGAAACATAAAAAATGGGAAATAACACTGACTCGGTTCGTTTCGCTTCTCCGCTGATGTAATGGACCTTCTGCCGTAATTCTATGGAGACATGTTTAACAACGTTAGCATTGTGATTATTCGCAACTCTTCCAGTGACAAGTATATGTTCACCTGTGAAATTCTAAAGATAAAGAAACAGAACTGAAAGAACGAAAAGCAAAAAGAGAAAAGAACAATGCCAGATAAAAAAGCACTAGATAGAACGTCTAGAACGTTTCGAAATCCCTCCCAGCTTAGGCTATGCCTCTTCCAATTGCCGCTTTCGTAGGTACTACTTTCCAAAAAGAAAAAGAAATCAAATGCTCAAAATTGACTAATATTCTTAGGAAGTAATTAACATTTTCAGTATAGCTGTGAGTTCGGCAACTTCATAGGTTTTACACTGCACAGCTAGCTTTCCATTAATGTCATTTTTTCTCTTTCTTTTTTTCTTCATCTTTCAAGCACCTTTCGTAGATGACGAAAAAGGCCGCCTGAATCGAATGCGTATCGATGCTTAATATTCACGAAACACCACGAGAGTTCACCTTGTCCATTGAAGCAAAAATAACACTTTTTATTACCGTAGTTCATCAGCTTTGAACATAAAGCTTATTCACTTAGTAGAGTAGTTCGGGAACAATGCTTTATAGGAAGAAAATAATCCACGTTGTGCAAAGCAACAGAAAAAAAGGAAAAAAGAAAAAAAACAGAGAAAAACACCTACGAATGACAATGAAACATACCTCGATCGGAAGCATAGCTGATTTGAAATATAGTGTCGTAATCGAAAAATTGTAATAATGTATAAATTTTATCTATTGCTTATTACTGTTTTCACGCAGGGTAAGAAAAAGATAAAGCTCTCGGCGTTGAATAATCCTGAAGGATGCACATGCATTCGACTTCATTAAGGATCGTCTGGAGAATATTGAATGCACATCTGGCCTTATAACAACTCACGGTGGCCTAGCTATGTATCAAATCAGTGCTGCTATCCTCCCAGACAAGTGTGGTACCAATTCGTTGACCCCACAGGGATGGAGGGCTTGGTGGGCCATGGGACCAGGAATCGATCTTATGTGTATTGCAGGGCACCTCCGACCACTGCACCACACGCGCTCAACAATTCTGTTACTCTACGTTTTCTACAATGCATCCTCTTAAAACAAAGAACAACACTGGCATCTAACCTTTTTAAATCAATGATAGGAAAAATGATACACTAGTTTCGATTACCCGTTTGAGTCATACTAAGAAATAAACTAATCGGAAGACTTCCATTATTAATAGAAGTACTCCACTTCAAAATCAAAATTAGTAATTTTATCGTATGGTGAAATCTAAAATAAAGCCCTTTTTCTTAGCTCAATAACCCTATAAGGTCTCACTCTGCACAATCACTTTAAGAAATAGTCACCTTTAGAAAAGCCTCAATGTCATTGTTTTGTTCCATATTCGAAAACACAAGAACTAGATATTTATAGGTAACACTGTTAGCTTTCTAAAGAATATTAACTTATTACTGCTTATTGAATCCTAAGGCGAAAACCGCAGTTGATGGCTTTGGCATTTTTATCGTGCACATTCATTTCAGTCCCTGAGGTTTTTCAGTTGAACTGAAATGACGTTAGTTATTTGTCATTGAAAATTGCTAGGAGAGAAATTTCCAGTGTGTCGAGACTGGTAGAGAAAAACCTTTATGATAGAGTCACACCGGGAAAATGGTGCAATCGATTTTAGTTAAACATGAGCTGCACAGCTTCAAGTTCATTTAACTAAAATGAGCACTAAAAAATAAATAATATGAACGTCTCCGGTCGAAAAACTGCCAACGCTGTGAAAAAATGACGATGGCAACTAAAATAAGAAGCTCCTACATACAGCTGAACATAGTTTTTTTTTTGTAAAACAGAAAGACATAAAAAGGTTAATCGTTATACTTATTTTAAAATTACCGATTTTCACCAATTGTAACCGAATATTCGAATGTGCTACGATTATGAGTATATATGTGGTTCAAAACGAGCTTTCCATTTAACCATATATGGCTTTCCAAAGGGCGCGTGTGGCGCAGTGGTCGGACATACCCTGCAATACATGCGTGGGATCGGTCTCCGCACACGTGGCTCACCAATACTTCCATCCCCCGGAATCGGCAAGCTAGCACCAGATTTAATTGGGAGGAAAGCAGCACTGGCTCGATATATCGGTAGGCCACCGCGAGTCATTGTAAAGGCCAGATATGCATTTATTCGCCTCTAAACGATGCTTAATGAAGTCGAATGCATGGCGTATCCCTAACAGATTGATCAACGCGGAGAGCATTTTCATTTTTTTATGGCTTTCCTGGAAATAGTGAAATTCTTTCCTCCAAGTCTGATAAAAGCTTGCTGGCTCCTTGATTGTCATCACAGGCAACCGCCGGCCAATAAAACTGCTATGTCACAGTGGATTTCTTTCAGAATGGATGCGATTCTCACCTTTCGTTTAGACTTAGCTTTTGAGTGAAATTATCAGTGAAAATGGCATTATACTGAACTATTCACATTAATAATGTGTGTTAATCCTACGATTGTCCTAATTCTTAGAAACTCCTTCAATATAAATACAATGACGTTGTGATAATCCATCATTACCCTTGCCGGAGGATCATCGTTTATCCGCGACATCAACGATGGCCCTTGCATTCCCTTCCTCTTTGCCAGTTTCTAACTCTGTCGGTACTATCCGCAATGACCCGTTTGCAGAAATGGTCTAAGAAGAACAAATCAGCATTGAACCTAGTTAAGCTGAAACTGTAGTCGAAATCACAACGTTGTTTTCACTACAGAAAGAAAGGCAAAGAGAGGGCCTTGGTTAGTGTGGTGGATAGCAGGTGAGCCCCACGGTAAGGATAATCTTGGATTCGAAACCGCTCTGAGGTTCCCATTGCCAATGTCTCAGCATCTTTGTGGTGGTATTCGACACAGTATTTTGCTATAGAAGAGGACGGTATGTAAAAAGTTTAAAAAGAAACATTGTAACTTCAGTTAGGTCGTATAGGATCTTCTAAATAGTGTTAACTACCGGTTAATGAAATATCTTGCAACTCATAACTTCAACCGCTCAGTTCAGAACGATGACGACTGTGGTGAATGCGTTTCTAATGATTTTGCCCCTGTTTGATGATTCTTGATATTTGGGTGAAAACTGTTGCGATTCGCTTCCGGCCGAATTCATTCGACCGACGATCCTGTTCGCTCAGACAACGCCATCAGCCACCATCATCTCGATCACGCTTATCCTAATTTCCTATCATTTCAATCGAATGACTCAAACGCATTCAAAGATAGCCGAAAAGTACAACTAAGATGTATAAGAAAACCCTTAAGCAAAAAACTTTATATTATTTGCTGCTAGAAATATTAACTAGTTAAGCTACTACGCTGGCAAAATAGATGGCCTTACAGTACTGCTTAGCGGTACTACAGTGGTTTTTATTACGCAAATTCATTTTCTTTTGAGTTATCACCATTGATTTCTATAGCATTAACAAGCTTTTAAAAACAGTTGTTTCTGAAGAGCATATAAGGTTATCGGCCTTGAGTAAAAAAGAGAGATCTTCTCTACAAGCTGCGTATAAATACCTTCCAAGAAGAAACTCTAGAAAATTGGAATCCTCCTCGAAGAACAATAAGCATTCCTGGAATTCTATTAGTGACGGACAAAGAAAGCATTCAGCTGTCCAATTCAACGCTCCAATTATTCACCTGATGATAAGTGGCTGCTACTTTTTTTGCTTATGGTCAAATGACCAGTCATAGACGACGGCAGCATGTCGAGCAGGTTCCAGCATTTCTTCCGTGCGCAGCGTTGTAATGCAACTGTCATCCACGGCGGTGGTCGGGTTTGGGTGTGGCTTCAATTTGAGGACCTTTCATCTCGTTTCTTCATTGATGCATTGAATACTGAGTGAGCATGACTTTCTCTCGGACCGAGAGATAAATGTCCTAGAGTATTCTCAGGTCCTCATGAATAGATGTAGTTGTCGGCGTTTGTAGAATGAGAGAGTTTTACAGCCTTGTCAACTCTTCCACAGCGAGTTCTGTGATTAATTAACGGATTGTTTAGGGAAGAGGTAAACTATCAAGTGTAAGAGATTGTTAACGAGTAGAATATAATCAGTTCATCTCCCTTAAAAAAGTAAGTACTTTCTCTCTAAGCCTTTTTCTGTATAACGAGGTGAAGACCTCCGATGTATTCAGATAGATTAGAACTACATACCTTGAAACGGAAAGGACTACTGAGAATTGAAAAAGAAACCAAGCTTTCATTTAAAGCATATTTCGGGAGGAGTGGTTAGGACAGAAAGATGAAAAATAAAGAGACAGGAATAAACAAAGATGTTTGAATCGTATTTAAATTTTTGTATAAGAAGACCTAGCTGAAATAGCCGACTTGTCAGTTATGTCATACGAAAGAGACTTTTAAAAATGAAAACTGTCTTAACTCTTTTATTTACTGCCTTTTTCTTCTTATTGGCAGGGTATGTTGCGAAATATAACTCGTATGAAAAGCTGAGATATTTGCAAAACTCCGGACCGCAGGTGTATCCAGTGGGGAGCGAACACACGCTGTTGTCCTTATCGGGGAGCAGCGCACTTCACCACCACACCATCCGGGTCCTTCGTCTTGCCTGTCTCTCAGCTAGTTTGATAAAAAGATCGATAAAAAAAGATCGATAGAAGGACCCGGATGGTGTGGTGGTGAAGTGCGCTGCTCCCCGGTACGGACAACAGCGCGTGTTCGTCCCCCACTGCATACACCTGCGGTCCGGAGTTTTGCAAATATCTCAGCATTTCATACGAATGAAAACTGTGAAAAACCGTCAAACACGTTCGCCATAAAATAAGGCAAATAAGTCTTCCCTATAAAAGAATGATGAAAGAAGTCAGAATATGAAATTCATTAAATCAACCTGGTACCTGCAATAAATGCGGATCTATCCACCTCAAAAAGCACTTCACAATCCAATCGATTGAAACAAAATGCCTGTAATAATAAAGAATTCATAAATGCTTTTAAATCTAATAGAACATTTGCTTCGATTAATGACTTAGAATCACGATGGAAAAGTGGAACTATAGTCCAGGCATCTAAAAATGCATCAAAGCTGGTTTGAAAGGGACAATCCTTGTGAACTACGCGAGAAGAAATTTTGTCGTTTAGCAGGATTTCAGCAACCATAGTTTTATAAAGCCATAAAAAAGCCAGCGCGTTAGATTTTGTAAGCTTCGAAAAAGCTCATAAGAAGGGAGTTAAGACTCCTAGTGTGCAAATATTTCAGTCAGGCTTGTAACAACCATTACTTGATAAAAATATTGTAAGAAAGGAAAAACTTAACACTTTCCAAAACGTGATATTTGCAAAAAGTGAAAACAAGAAACAAAATTGCTACAAAATGTTCGATACCTTCTTCCGTAGATGCCTTTGAATGCTTACTGATGGTGAGGTGGCATTGATACTGGCGATACCCCAGAGA